ACACTGTTCAGCTCTCGTCTCTCTCGCTTCCTGCAGAGTGCACACGGCTCCCCACTTACTCTCACCCATCTACCTGAGACTACTTCAGGGTTCACTGGAGCTGTAGTACATATCAACACCATATCAAAAATAATGACATAAACCTCAAAATACAAATAAAAAGGTTGTGCATTTAACTGACACACATCACATACTTTGCAGGCATTTGTATACATTCTTGAACACATTAAACATTTGCAATTAACTATCAATATTAATGAACAAATTTAAATAATGAGCAACTTATATAGCCAGGGCTACATTCAGTTTAGTAAAAAAGTGAAAAATGAGTATGAACTTGTACAAAATGAAGCAAGACATTAAAAAAACAGTTTCATTGATTATAAAGTAGACTATATCGGATTCATATCAGTATCGGCAGATATCCAAATTTACGATGTCAGTATCGGCATCGGATATAAAAAAGTGGTATGGTGCCATCTAAAATAATTAGTATGGGCGAAAGTTGCAAATTACTTTGTGCACCATATCATAAAGTGTGCAGACCAAATGCAGACACAGCTTCCAGGGTACATTACAAACAGATGAATGGGATTCAGTGAAGTCAACCCCTCCCAGAATTTGTGAGGTGGGCAAACAATGTTTGTTTGCTTCAGTTGATAGATATTACTGGAGAAATGTTATACCTGAAATTAGACTTGTCTGGTACACGCATAGAATCTATTGTTAAATATGTCTGTGTTTGCTTTTGTTAACTCTCACAAAGTTCATTTATATTTTATACAGTATATGCTGTCAAAGCAGATTTGTGTCCCTGCAGTGTGCTGATGGTGCTTGTGGCTACCATACACCGAGACTTGACTTTCTGTATGTAAATGACTGTGTTTGCATGTGTGTTTAATGAAGGGGTGTCTCTCAGCAGCAGATGTTGGTGTTTTGTTAGAATAATTTGGTGGGAATTTTCATGAGCTCCACAGAGCCACAGCTGGGCTACAGGTGGGAACAAGGGAAGATGGATGGAGGTGGGGAGGGCTAAGTAAGAGCGGAACCCCAGACCCCTTGGGGACAAAACTGTGTTTGAGGCCAAAAACAGTCAGCGAGGCAGAAATAGACATATAGGGAGGCGGGATTTGGCAGTTTTTGTCCGACTTATTATACCCACATACACCATGTTCTGTATAAAAAACGTCAAACCAGGTTTGCATGTACTCTACATTTGCTGACTTTTTGTTCCTCCTCAATTTTCAATATCAAGCACGAATGCACCTTCTGACTGCATTTAAAACATGCTTAGATAAATGCTGTTGTGTTTTTATGGATTCCACTGAGCTCTGTTTTAAAGTATATGAACCAACAAAAAAAAGAAAAGAAATTTTAAAAAGGAGGCAAGATATACAGAGTGGCAATTACCTCAGCTCTTGGCAGGGATTCTAATTAAAACCAAACTTGTTTCCTTCAGTGAACAAACATGACAGGCGCTGAGCAGAAGAGCTTTTTTTTTTCCACTCCTGCCAAAATATTAAGTGAGTGCAGGTGCTCCAGGAATGTCTACAAGGGTGGGGGCAAGGCTGAGCTGACCTTTTTCTCTCTCCATTGTGTATGTGAGTCTCCATATGTGTGTTTATTTATGTATTTGAGCATGTGTTTCCTCCCAGCCCTGACTGTTTTCACGCATGCTTTGGTAGCACGGCACAGAAGTACACCCAGCAGTTTGCCTTTGCTCACTTCTGTAGCTTTGACGTGTTAGAAAGCTGAGCAAAAGCAAGCGACTGTTACGTTATTCGGCAGAGGCTGGGGACTGCCCTAAGCAGGACCATATGCAAGGGTCCTGGCAATTCCTAGGCCTGATTGAAGCAGGCTCAGTAGCCCCACTGGAGCCACAGACCTGACAATTTCCTCTCTGCACCCCATCAACGCAATGAATACCGTACACTACATCACTATTCGATACAAACTAATCTCTGCCATAATTCCCAGGTCATATACAAACAATGAATAACAACCATTTTAATTCAGATTTTTTTTGTGCCTCTCACTCATTAAGGAGCCATCATAGCACCAAATCAGTAACAGAACAGCACCCCAAGGGGTCTAGCTGTCAGCCATGATTGAATTCAAGCTTTATGCTTGAGAGACAGGCTTTCTAATCACTACTCTACCCTGCTGACTCAATAATTGTTCATTATTCATTATTAATGTCCATCCATGGCAATAACTCACGCTCATTAGTGAAAATGAACATTTATTCAGTTCCGTTCCTGGAAGTTCACGATTACCAGATTGTACCTTCTACCAATCAGCAGGGTTAGAGGCTGGAGGAGTTGAAGGCCTCCAGTGCAGGTGGGGCAGGGTATTTTGACAACTTCCTTGAGGTCAGAAATGCCTCACCAAAGAGGTGATGGGTACAAGCGGACACCTGGCCCAGACTGACACCTTGAGCCAGACAGCCAGGTGAAGTGCCTGAGGACAGCTCCCTAAAATTAGGCTGCACTGAAAGAGAAGTAGAAGCGATTGGTGGATTTGAGTTGTTTCAATGAGTAGGCAAAAAGGAGTTTCCATAGAAGAGATGACCAGAAACAAATGGACAACATAAAGCCTGATATTTACACTTGCTTATCCCTAGCTTTACTGCTTCATTTACAGTCACTGGATTCCAAATAATTGTCTTTAAATTATTGTTACCTGGCTCACTAGAAATGGTGCACAAAGCACATCGATCAGAAGAAAATTACTTTGGCTCCTGCACTGCAAAAATAATCTAAATATAAGAAGTAAGAAGATTTCTTTTGCATCTTTGGACTGCTTTCTCAATGCAGATGCTATTTTTACATCTCTTAGTTCAATCTTGTTGTGTCTTTTTGCACTTCTGCCTCTGTGACAGGCGGTGGATGTCTGTCCAAACAGTCCTTCAACTAGATTTTCATTTTCAGGAAGTCGGCATGGTTGCAGGAAACCAAATCTGGTGAGTGGTGTGGGTGAGGAGTGAAGATTGCAGGCTCCTGCACATGCACTCGCAGGTTAGGAAATGACTCGTCAACTGAAAACGTGATCATACCTGGAGACCCAGCACTCATCACCACGATGTGGAATTCGGGTCAGTTTGAAAGGAAATGTTGTCTCTTAGCATAGCTGTGGTCTGTGGTCAGATTGGGGAGTTTACAGTGTGAGTGATCAGAATAGGACTTACTCAGAGGAATATAAAAATAGCAGCTGCTGGAAACTGGTCATGATGCCCTTAAATGTGACTTTGGTCAAATTTAAATCAATTTTGGTTTTAAGGACCTGTGCCCAGATCCTTTTGATCACATCTAGTAGGCTTTCACTTGCGTATCACCTTTCAAAAGTACTTTACCATGTTTCGCATTCACAGCATTCACACACCAATAGTAACTGAGACGGCAAGGATGGCGCTGGCTTACCTTCACGCAGAGGGCCAGAGATCAAAGCACCAACCCTGTGAAAAGTGAACATGTGCAACTACTATTTAGATATGTACACGAGAGCTGACTCACTGTGCTGTTTTTTTAAACGGTGGTCATCCAAATTATACTTGTTTGTGAGTCATTTGGGAATCATGAGTGTTTTTAAAGATGTGAAAATGAAATGCACGTGGGGCAGCCCAGCCCAGGTTTAAAGTATCATTCTTGCACATGTATTCTGTCTTGCTTCTACTAACTTTCAGACATAGAGGATAC